ACCTTAGAACGGAGAGACTCTGGAGACTCAAGCATATGAAGAAGTTCTGAATTATCAATCTCCAATAACATGCCAGTGATTTTACCAGCAAGAGTAGGGTGCATGGCTTGAATAAGAGGAAACAGCCGTTCACCTAGGAACGAAAACATTCAAAAGCTTCCTTCAATCAAAAAATTTAAAGACCCCATATTAAACTGTTGTTTAGGAATTTTATTTTTGTATATATTATGCTAACCCACAACCCATCATTTCATTCTTTCACCAGGAAGAACAAGATCGACCACAAAGCAGTAATTCTTCTTGGTATCAGTCTGTCAAGTGATGTTACTTATTCAGCTGTTAAATCTGTGCCGAAAGTAGTCAAAAGTTGTCTTCATATTAGGTTCAAATTCCTTCTTCCAAAAATGGGAGTGGGATCCAAGTTAATTCTCTGTTACCTTATCCATTATCAACAACATACCTGCCCTAGGCATTTCTGAGTTCAGAGTGTCTAAGTGAACTTTTAACTTTTCTAGCCTTTTGTTACCGACAAGGTGGGTCAAAGATACTTACCCAACATTTGCTTTTGCTCTTGAGGGGGGGCAGATGCCAACATGGAAGCAGTCAAAGGTTCCTGACCTTGTACATGAACAGCAGGCTAGACATAAAATAGAAAAACTTCTAAGCACAGTAATAGCACATACAAACAGTCACCAAGAGGTAATCACTGCAGTGATACAGACTGCCATTTAAACATAACTGAGAAAAACTGAATGAGAACGTATAAACTGTGGAACATAAAAATTAGAAATACAGGCTAAGAATTAGCAATATGTACAAGCTCAGAAATGCACTCTCAAATTTAATAAAACCCCATCTTTTATACTTAGTATTTCTTGGATTCATTCATTCTGTTAACTTGTTTGATCCCATGGTTAGAGAAAAGAATTATTAAAATCCACACCTGTTGCATGGTAACTTGTGGCTGTGCATTAAGATGTTGCTGAGGATTGCGGACTCCCGCAGCATATTTATACTGTGGAACGGTGCGGACAGCAGGGGTAGCTGCAGCAGCAGCAGCTGCAGGACGTGGACCCATTGTCTGTGTTGATGTGTTAGCTTTAAAAAAAGAAAAAAAATTACTCCCCCCTGTTTTTTACCATGTTATTTCAAATTAGAGAGCAATTCTTTACAGAAAGGGTTAAGACTCACCAACACGCTGTGTTGACATGACTCGTGGAACTTGTGAAGAAGCTGGTCTCATAGTACTAAATGGTGGTCTAGGAGCAGCTGGGCGGATAGCACCGGGCATATTTTGGAATGCTGTATTTAAAGATACGAACATATATTAACTGGAAAACCTCACTGAATTAATGGGTTATGCTGCTTTAGAGTCAAGTTTGCACAAAAGGCTGAAAGTGGTCCATTTTTTAAAAGCTGAGTTTCAAAATTGTTTTCCTATACTTTTTAGATTAGTGTAAATTATAACACTAATTCATACTATGACAAGTACTTATTAATCTAAGATATGAAAATATTTTATCTTTGATTCCACAGAGGAAAACTTAAAGGACAGGACCCTGATGCTTAGATGACTACCTAACCAAATAAAAGATTTGTTCCCAAAATATTCATAAAGGAAAACAGTAGACATTACTGTCAGTGATCACTAAGACAGGAATAATACAGCATTTTATTAAAAAAAAAAAAAAAGCTATAACATCAAAAAATGAACACCTGTAACCATAAGTTATGAACAGCAATAATATACCATGGAAACAGAAGGCTAATTTGATTTGCTTCACGTATATTTTTAATCAAATTCCCAATCTTAATTAAAAGGCTTACGATGAGGTCTGGCACCCTGAGCAGTCCAGCGAGGACTTGGTCTTAGTTGAGCAATTTGGCTAGGAGGATAGTATGCAGCACGGTTCTGAGTCTGCAAAAACAAGCAAATAAAATGTATGTATCAATTTTATGAAAAAAAAATGCAACTAGTTATCCATTTTCAAACACACAGCCCTCACACTCTATTAGCATTTTTCCAATTCAATCATAACCCACAGTAGGTTTTATTATTTGGAAGACACAAAACATATTAAGCAATGATCAAACATGAAAACCTACCTGTGGGATAGCTGCCATGAAGTAACCTGAAGGAGGTGCTGGCTGGTAGGGGTTGATTACAGGGTTGGGCACAGCTCGTACACTTGCCATTCTCTGCATATACTGGTTAGTGAGGTGAGCCTGGCGCTCTTCTTTGCGCTGAGCTAAAGCTACATACAGTGGCTTGGTGGCCACAATTCTACCATTCATTTCTGTAACTGCTTTTGTGGCTTCTTCTGGGGAGGAGAAACATACAAAACCAAACCCTTTGCTGCGACCACCCTCCATCATAACCTATTAAAAAATAAATAAAAAATAAAGTTAATGTAATGGTAGAACGAAGTAGAAAAAAGTACTACCAATTAAGAATCAATTTTAATCAATGAATCATGTATCTAAATTCTGTTAAGGCTGTAATCCTATTAATCCCTTGAGTTCATTAATTAATTCTTCTTCAATATCCAAATACTATACATATACATTTTCCTAGCCAAGCAAGAAAACTGGAAGAAAGAGAGGCACAGCAGTAACTTTTTGAGATTTCAGATGTTTAATATTAATTCCAAGATTATTTATTGAATAGTAGTGATATGAGATAATAAAATACTTAACAATATTTTATAATAATAATAATAAAAATAAAATACTTACAAAATAAAACAAAGGACTAACATAAAATGTTCTCTTAAAACATACATCTAACCTAATATAGAATAATGCAAAGGCAAAACTAGTGAACACATAAAAGCACACCTCATTAAATAAAAAAACAATGTGAGAAGATGAGATCCTACTTTCTACTCAATTGAAAATTCTGACAAGAAACAAGACCAGTGCAAATTTGTTTCCCCTTTTTGGCATAAATTGGCTGTCTCAATTTTAAATATTCATGCCATATAAATAGCAATTCCAACTCTATAAAATTAGATGTAAGAATGTTCATTAGAGCAATGGTTCTAATAGTAGAAACATGAAAAACCACCTACATGTTTATCCAAACAAGTAACAATAAAATATACAGATTTTCCATACTGTTCAGACTTTTTTTAATATATGTATAAACAGTTTTTAGAAAAAGGAGTCATACTACATGATTTGTCTTTTTATATAATGATATATGTTGATTTGTATTTAAGGTATTTTTTTCACCTTCATTGCTAAAAGCCAGGTACAGAATTTCCAATATGGAAATCATAAGAGATTCTTTTGCAGACTGAATATGGGGAATAGAGGGCTTTTCTTTCTTATTTTACCCTTTTATTCTGCTTGGTTAAAACTTTTTTTTCTAGTAAGCATTAACAAATGATCTCCTGGTTCCAGAATAAATTCTTACAACCCTTCACCTCCCTGCAAAGTGAGAGTATAATCCACAAAGGACCTAAAACATGCATACTTAATCAAAAGAAACTGATACACAATATTCAATTTAAATTTAAACTTTCAGGAAGCATACTAAGGATAGACACTCATGAATATATTCTATCATATTCAGAGTATTACCAGAAAAGCACAGGCTGAACCATAAAACAAACATGGCACATGCATTTTTTATTTGTATGCCATCCATTTCACCTCTTAAAAAAAAAATAAAATCACTTTGTCAATGGGGTTGTGGGGAAAAATTGAGTAAGAAAGACTACCATGGGGTGAGTAAAAACTTTCCTGTGCCCAGCAAAATTACATACACAAAAAAACTTTGGATAGAGCAGTTCTTGGACACTGAACTTGACACTAATTTCAAGACCCCAAAGATCCCTAAGTCTCCCATGTTCTAGGCACTTGGTATTCTTTACTTCTAAGAAAACAAATACTTCCTACTCTGACTCTAGCTTCTACTTTGGGGAATATTTTATCCAACTATAAGTTAAAAACTGTAATAGAAAATAGATAAAAACATGTAGAAGTGAAATTTTTAAATCAAAATTTCAGAGTTTGAACTAGACTATTACTATTGTTTCATAATCTCCAATTTCAGGTAAAAGGAAATATGATCGCTATCTTCACTGCTTGGGGTTTGACTACTCAGACTGACTCATGTGAATGAAAATATCAGAACAGTAAAAAACATAACTTTCACCTTTGCACTAGTGATTGTACCAAATGGAGAAAACTCTTTCCGGAGACGTTCATCATCAATACCATCATCAAGGTTTTTCACATAAAGGTTAACACCCTAAAAAGAAGGGGGCGAAAGAAAAACTGAAGAAAAAATTTAAAAACCCACCATAATGGTACCTAAGCACACCTCCTATTCCTTTATCCCATTTCTTCTTTCCCCTCTCAAACCCTCAGTTACCTGGAAGTAACTGAAATGAACGTAAAATAGGATTCCTCGTCCCTGTCTTATTTTGCTTGTTCAATAAAAAATGAACCTGGTATCTGGTGATCCTATCTTGCTTCATCTGTTCAAATTTTCGCTTTAGTTCCGTCTGCCGTTCCACTTTTTTCTGAGCTCGACCAACATAAATTTGTTTTCCGTTGAGCTCCTTTCCATTCATTTCATCCACAGCCTTACAGGAATCATAAACATTTAAATTAATAATTTGTAATATAAAAGCTCATTCTTAACAAGTAGAATTTGTTACTAAGTTAAAGACAACCCATCCCAAATCTTGAGGTTTGAGGACAACATAGGTTCCCAATTTATATTCTTGAACTCATGCATATATGCAAACCGAGTACAAGAATATGAAAATAGCCATTGGTACATGCACATAAACTTCAACAAAAAATTAACTATATACCCCCCCTTACTATAAGGGTACAGGAAGATCACACTACATTTAATTATTATATTTAAGTCTTACTTTCTGTGCATCTTCATGCCTTTCAAAGCTTACAAATCCAAATCCTTTGGATTTTCCACTTTCATCAGTCATTACTTTCACACTTAAGGCAGGTCCTAAAAAATTTTTTTAATAATTCAAAGATATTCCACACAAAATGTTCATATATTTCACATCGCAACAGACAAAAACAATGGCATGGGGGAAAAGGGGACAAAATAATCTCAAGACCCAGAGATCCCATGTTCCAGGCACTTGGTGTTCTTCTAAGAAAACAAATACTTCCTACTCTGACTCTAGCTTCTACTTTGGGGAATATTTTATCCAACTATAAGTTAAAAACTGAAAGAGTTTCCGGTTTTAGCTAATAATTTTACACTTCAGAATTAAGAACTAGGAACTCCTGACCCATCTGCTTTTCAATAGGGAGTGGAAGGAGAGAACACAAGGCTGGACCCTCTGGTAAAAAATAACAATTATCTGGAGGAAGAGTCATATCGCTAAAGACACATGCTTCTTTTCCTCACCTTTTTCAAGTGGAAAATATTTAAGTGAGATGGGTGGTTATCTCAGTCAAGTAGGGGAAGAAAAAGGTTAAAAATTACATTAGATTATAGAGAATCTAGAAGATATACAGGCACAGGTAGACTCTTTCATTTAATGTACCTCTATTATGTAAAACAAAATATCCGAATAGTTACATACTGGCAGTCAACTCACAAGCATGAATCTTTTGGGATAAGTGATAAGACACAATAATCCAATTGTAGGAATAACTTCTAATTTTTAAAGATTTAGATACAGGACATGAAATATACAAAAGGATTTGGACTAAAGAAGACTTAGGGTAATATATGAATCATGACATCCGTTATCTTCTGTATCTTACATGATTTAACTTTGTACAGAATAACTGTTTGTTTAAAGGAGGGTTCAATATGGCATGCTAATCCAGCAACAAAAAAAGTTATCAATTTCCTAATTACTTGAAGTACCACCTCTAAGTTCAACAGGAGGAAAGCAAAGACTGAGGCCAAGTAAATTATCTGCAAATGTACAATAAAAATATTCATTTTATGATCTGTCAACTCCATTAACCCAAAGTAAGGCTGATTAGTAAGTTTGATGAAGTTACTTTGAAAAGCAAGGAAAAAATATTTTAACATCTCATATATGCAGATGGCCACCTTTGGCTTCATCTTTGAATGGGATTATTTTTAAATTGCTCAAACATGATGATATTGCAACTGGCCCAATAGCCTAACTAGACACCTGTTAACTAGACACTGAATTCCATTATAAACTGGCTTCATCAAATACTTGCCTCTGATGAGATGGGACCCTATTAGGGCCTAAATTCCAGCATCTTAATGGTACAAAGCCTTTTAAAAAACTAATTTTTCAGTCACACCTTACTGTGCTAATCTAATGCTATCAACCTTTAATCTAAACTGGATAGAATTCTACTTATATGATACTTTATAGTATAATGATCTGCAGCTTATCTATTAGTATTTTCAAGTACTTGGTCTCATCTCATTTACTTTTTAGTATCAATATCAGTCAACATTAAATGTTGAGCAGTTACTCAGAACTCCAAGTGTAAAAATTTAATTCAGACACATTACCAAACTTGCCAAAGAGATCCTTAAGGCGCTCATCATCCATGTCTTCTCCAAAATTCTTGATGTAAACATTGGTGAACTCTTTTGCCCTAGCTCCAAGTTCTGCTTCTCGTTCTTTACGAGATTTAAATCGTCCAACAAATCTAAAATATGTAAGGACTATGACATTAGGATCTGTTAATTAAGTCTGATGGTTAATTTCAAAATTGTTGAGAATTTTCATAACTTCTAATAAAAATCACATTACACATATAAATAGGAACTTAAGACATTAAAACATGAAATACATAAAAAAGAAACTTTTAACTACAACCACAATACAGGAATGTTTCTCTAACACACACTTCTGTTCTCTCTGGCTAATCCAGGTCTAAAGGGATCGCTCCTATCAATACAAGTAATTGTGTGTGACCATGTCAATGAAGAGACCTAAATAAAAGTTTTCATGATCGCTATTTTAAAGTGTCTCTTGTACTTTATTTGCCATATCCTAAAACATAAATTTAAACTTCCTAATTCTGTACTTGTATTTCTAGAATACAAATGACTGACATAACTGAAGTTTATTTCCAACAGCATGCTTTTAAAAACAGTTTTCCCAATATAAAAACAGTAATGTTATGAAATACTGTAATACATAGCAGAGTACAGGGGGGAAAAAAGCTATAATTCCATTCAAATTGTGTCTTTTTGCCCTCTGTTCAAAAGTATTCATTTATGGAAATAAGAGTTCTCTCTTTTATCCTCTTCAAAAATAAGTTGGAGCTTCTCCATGCTCTTGGTTTCATAAATGTTCACTGTAAACATTGCCAATTTCTGCTCTTGCAACTTTAGATTTGTTCCTAGGACAGAGTCATAGGAATCATAGTTCAAACGGAATATAAATTATCTTTTTTTGGTACTAAGGATTGAATCCAATGGTGCTCCATGGCTGAGTTACATATCCAAACTTTTTTCTTTTTAATTATGGGAGACAAGGTCTCACTAAGCTGCTTAGGGTGTCACTAAATTGCTGAGGATGGCCTTGAACTTGTATCCCATTGCCTCAAGCTTCTGGAGTCACTGAAATTTTACAGGCATGGTTTCCCATGCCCAACCCATAAGTGAATTTATAATTCTACACAGTGAAACACTATTTTCCATAACAGTTACATTATTATATACTCAAAATCAGTCTTTATATCTGGATCTTGTCAGTGATGAATGTGCCTTTAATTTTTTCCCCTGAAGTTATGATAACAAGCATTTCAATTGTAGGTATAAGGTGAGTAACCTTTATTTGAAATTCTTAGGACCATAAATGGTTTCATTTAGCATTGGAGATTGAACCCAGGAATGCTTTGCCATTTAAATACATACCACCTTTTTAAGGGAAAAAAAAAAATTAAGACATGGTCTAAGTTGTTTAGGGCCTTACTAAATTGATAACCCTGGCCTTGGAATCTTTCTGCCTCAATCTTTCTGAGACTAGAGGAATGTGCCATCATTCCTGATGCAGAAGTTGTCTTAAAATCTGGAATATCTTATGGACTTCACTAGTTAAGCATCCCCTAAAATGAATGAAATAAGTCAAAATTGGATTTGTTGTCATGTTGGTGGAGAGTGTTTCAGATTTCAGAGATTTTTGAGTTAGGGATGCTCAACCTATACAAATGATGCTGAATATCTCTCATTTGCCCAGATGATTAAAAGAAGTAACTGGCATTTAAGATAAATAGCCTTATAGTTTTAATCATTGCCATTACACTTTAATCAATATTTCAAGAAAGATTAATCACAAATCAGACTTAACTCTGCTTCATTTATAATTTGATCATAAATAGTGGCAGTCCCAGCAATATGGTCATACAGAATGGGCTGAGTGCAGACTACTCAGTGTATAGGTCAGCCCATCTGTCAATAACATTGTGTAAAATTAAATTATTTTAGCCAGTTTCCTCAAATATAAAAAGGACTAATTTAATTAGTATCAGAGGAAAGTTTGCCTGGATTTTGAATTTTTCAAAAATACATTTATTTTGGAAAAGCTTTATATCCCCATTTATCTTCTGTTTCTTTTTGGTTTAAAGGTTGACCAATTACATTAAATCCACCATTATTTGTATGTTACACTGAATGTGGAGAAAATACAATTATAAAACCTATCAAATATGGTTTATTAATTTCTACCATTTCTTTATTAAGAGCACAAACATGCTAACTTTTAAAATTGGCCTGGAACCATTAAAAGCATATTGAAAATACAAACCAAATCTTTATACTTACACTTTGCGATCATTTAGAAGCATTCCATTCATTTTTTCAATAGCTCTTTCGGCTGCTTCCTGTGTCTCAAAATGTACAAATCCATAGCCCTTGGAACCATTTTCATCACAAACCACCTAGGGAAAAAAATGCATAGCCACTTCTCATTATTTGCTATTGATTTAACATTCTTCCAGTGTGCAGAGATAATTTGTTAGTGACTAACCCCAGATATTTTGGAAATAAAGACAGCCATTAACAGCACAGTTGCTATTTTAAGGACTAAACTAAGGTAGCTAAACACTGTGAATGTTTACCTGTCACATTTTTGCTTACCTTACATGAAAGGATGTTACCAAAAGCAGAAAATGTATCATACAGTGCTTTATTATCAATGGATTTGTCCAAATTTTTAATGAATATGTTGCCTACTCCACTTTTGCGAAGCGATGGATCGCGCTGAGACCACATGATGCGTACTGGCTTGCCCTTTATAACATCAAAATTCATGGTGTCCAAAGCACGCTCCGCTGTAAGAAAAAAAATTTCTGAGTGAATATTACTGTAAAAACTTTGGCCTTGTAAGTTTTTATTACTGTAAAAACTTCAAGAGGGTTGGACTTTTCAAGTACTATACCCTAGTCTAGCTATACATTGTATAATGCAAAAAGAAAAATAATCAGAAGCCTCAAGACTTCACATATGAAAGGATGGCATATTGATAATGTATTTGTGAAACAATCTTCTCTCAAATTCCATTAAGTTTAAAAGCACCTTTCTGTTCCTAGGCATCATAAAACAAGAGATTCCTTCTCATACAATCTGTTAAAAGCAACACAAAAGACTAGGCAATTGTACATTATCAATAGGCTGAAAACAGTTTCTAGACTTAATCACTTCTTCCTATTTGTCAAAATTGGTCATTCCATTGCTCATCACGGCCAAAAGTTCACTCAAAAAACAAAAATTAGTTCCTGAATTTGGATTTTCATAACACAACTACCTATTACCATGGAAGGAAATGTAAAGCTACAGCAAGATCTAAATAATGTCTAATGTTTGGACATACTGATTGCATAATAATCTCAGAATTTTTGAATATCTGATCTACAATAGATATAACTCACTTTTAACACTTTCTTGACACACAAAATTAACTTTATCTTAGACCTCTGGTTTATTTAACAAGTGACAATTTATTCAAGTTTTTCTGTATAGTGCTAGAAAATTTGAAAATCTATCCTACAATTAATTTTGGAATCTGTGAAAGCTTGAATTATGTGCACTTCAACCCATTAAAGAAACACTAAAAATTAAATAGAAAAACATAACTTAAGTAAAAAGACTAATCTCTATAAAAATAGTCCATTTGAAGCATTGAAACAACTTGACAAATTCCATGCTAACGTTAACTGTAAAGTTATTGATGGGACAAAATTTCCAGCAACTTTCTATAAATAAAAGTTCCAGCTTCTAGAATATCCTGATAATCAGCTGTCAGCTCATTATCAATTGACCACACCTACTCAGCTCCCCCAGTTTTTTTTTTTTTTTTTTAGCTGACTGTGCTTGAGCGTCTTTTGAATGAGTCACCTCTTCCTGTTAAATGGAATACTGGTCACTTTCTGAGGCTATTCCATCAGTGCAGCAATATTTCTTTTTTTTAAGGAAATAGAAAAACTACTTGGAAAGATGATAAATTGTATGTATACAAATCCCAAGAAATAAAAAAAACAGATTTTTGGGATTTTAAAGTGTGACACTTAAAAAACAAACCATGTTTCTAGAATTCATCTATTTATTTATTTATTTTTTACCAAGTTTTTATGTTGTGATTACTTGCTGCAAAAGTTATCTTCCCTAATCTTATATCCAGTGATATATACTACTCAGTGATATATACTACTTCAGAACTGTTATGAAGTGATACTTGAAGTGACTGTCTGCAGAGCAAAAGGGCAGGAAAACTGCAGTGCAGTTTTACAACTTCTGGTTCCTTGTCACTCAATATTCCTCCTTACCCAAAATCTCAGTATAAACGCTGTCTATTGAAAAACTCATTAACTACTAATTGAACTTAAGTTTATTTCTATAAATGAAAATAAATATGGAGGGGGCATAATTGGGTCAGATCAGTGAAGCTGTCTTCTGAAAAGTCAACTGAACCACATATAAAACTCTTGGTCAGACCCTACCTTTATCAAAATTTGTTAACTCTTTAACTTTAAAATAAAAATACAAAACTATTTCCATCGATTCTGTATCCAATCATTTCAAGATTCACGACACTCTGGATCATTTCAAAAATAAAAAGAAATTTGAACTATTTGAGTTAATGGTCAGTCCTCCATATTGCTAATGAGTGCCATTTACAGCCCAAACTAGCTAATATCTAAAGAAAAACTCCTTAAAACCAAAGGAGCTATATCAGGAAAAAGAAAAAAAAATCACGTACATATATGCACTGAACACATTACCAATACTATAAACTAAAGACCAATTTGATAAAACTGACCTAAATTGTCTGGGAAACTGTCATTTAAAAGATTTTCTTCCATATCCCCTCCTCCCATCACCCTACATTTAGTGCAAGAAAAATGCTTGTCTAGGGGAAAACCCCAAATTCATGTCCCACTGATCATTTGCGTTTCATCAATCACTAATCCCTTTAAAATAAAACCAAAAAACCACAAACCTGAGGACCACCACCACACATTACCGTATTAACTTTATTCTAAGGCCTTGTGGTCGTCCCCTGCCAACCCTAGCTATTGGACCAGTAGCAGAACAGGCCTTGGGCCTGTGAGGTTACAGGGTTCAACACGTGGTATTTTTCGAGCACTGAATTGCACTTCCTTCAGAGACCCGGGCGCCGGCCAGAGCCCTGGGTGGTGTCAGCGCCTACACCTACTCCCCCAGAAAGGTGCTCAGCGACCTGCACCCCAGAATCCCGCGGTTACTGGCGGGAGCGCAGTAGAAGAAGCGTATTTCTCCCACCCCCCTGGCGCGTCATCACCCTAAAGTTTGAGAGCGGCTGAAGACGAGAAAATGGTCGCAAAGGAGGAAGTGGCCGGGCATGCAAGGGGCGTGCGGCTGCCGGCTGCGCGGGTGCCCCGGGCAGAGTAACGTGGCTCCGGGAGACACAGTCAGGGGTGCCCGCGCCCGAGCGTCTCCCCTCCGGTCCTCGGGGGCTGACATGCCTTCCTGCTCCCCTCCCCGAGCCCGCCGGCCTAGCCAACCGCCTCCTTCCGAGCCTCATGGCCGCCCGCCCGCCGCCCTCCGGGCCTCGCTCTCACCGTCCGCCGGCTGCTGGAAGTTCACATACGCGTAGCCCAAGGAGCGGCGGGTGATCATGTCCCTGCAGACCCGGATGGAGAGGATGGGCCCGGCCGGGCTGAACTTCTCGTAGAGCATCGCCTCGGTCACGTCGGGGTGTAGGTCCCCCACGTAGAGCGAGGCCATGGGGTAGCTGGGGGCGCTGGGGTTCATCTCGGCACGGCTGCCCGCAGGGCCACAGGCCGCGACCTTTCCGTGAGAGGAGGAGAGCGAGTGCTGGGGCCGGGGGCCGGAGCCGGGGGGAGGGGAGCGGGGGCAAGCGCAGAGGGACAAAAATCAACCGGAATCGAAAACTACTCAACGGCCGCAGAACGGGGTCGATCAGCTGCCGCGGGCGGCGGGCTGCGGGCTGGGAGCGAGGCTGGCGGTGTCGGGTCCGGGCGGCGGGAAGGCCTCGGTCTCTTGGTTCCTTCTTGGAGCTGCTGCGGGGCCGCGGGCGGGCGGGTCGGTCTCGGCTGCTTCACCGGGTTATTTTATAAAAGAGGAAGAAAAAAAATAAAAGTCTCCGGCGGGGGAGACGCGGATTTTTTGTAAATTTTTTTTGGGTTTTTTAAAAGATTTTTTTAGATTTTTTTTGGATTTTTTAATAATAAATGTGTGTTCCGAGCCCGGAGCACACACTCCGCACTCTCAGCACTAACCGCCGGGGAGAAGGGGAAGCACCGCCTCCTGCACCCTCTACTTCTCCCCCCCGCCGCACTCGCCCCGCCCCCGCGCGTCTGACGCCAGGGCCCTACGCGAGCGTCGGCGCCGGAGGAGGAGGAGAAAAGGAGGCGAGGGTGCTGAGGGAAGAGAAAACAGGAGGAGGAAAAAGCAGAGAGGAAGGGAGAGGTGGCGGCGGCGGCTGCTGCGGGTGTGGGGGTGGGGCTGGGGCGGAGGGGCGGGGTTTCTGCGCACGCGCCGCGTCCGGGGGCGGGGCCACGCTGCGTAGGGCCGTGGGGGAGGGGAGGGCCGCTCGCGGGCGGTCCTCAGAAGAGTCGCTGGGACGGCCCCTCCTCGCGCACACCCCGCCCCCACCTCCACCGGGAGGAGCGTTAACCCGTCACCGCGGCGGTGGGCGGTGCGCGGGGCTTCCGGGTTCCTCAGCGCCAACCTCCCCCCACGTGCGCGGTCGACAGGGGCTTCTTCCCGCCGCTGCCACCCGGCTCCACTCGCTCGGATCCCGAGGGAGGCTGGGCACCAGTGGGCCGGTGTGATCCCCTGCAGGCCCAGTTTCCGAAACGTGCGTGGAGGGAGCCGGGGTGGCTGTCCCTTTCTCCTACCCGGACCGCACTACGAGTCCCAGCGGGCAGCGCCGCCGCGCGCGTCGGCAGCAGAAGCGATGCCTGCTGGGAGCTGGAGTTCCCAACGGCCGCGACGCTCGCTGACCCCAACTGGCCACGGGTGCGGGCCGCCGGCTCGGGGACCCCAACCGTCCCGGGCGCTGGATCCTTGTCGTCGCCCGGCGGCACGCCCTAGAGGAGGGGGAGGGGGTTCCTCGTCTTTCTTGTCCTCTGGTCTCGGACCCCAGTTCTCCGACTGCCCACTGGATGCTGTTTGTTCATCAGAGTGGTTTTAATTTGGGAAAATTGCGTTGGGAGACTTTGGTCGCTTATTACCTTAAGGTGCTCTGTTGAAATCATTGAGTCGTGCTAATTTTGCCAGACATTTCTGTGCAGTGGAAAATAGGAATCGAGAAGACTGTTTCTCACGATCACTTGTATAGGCACCAAAGTCCTGCAACCAGACATAATTAGGAATAATCCAAACTACTACAATTATAATACATGTTTAAAACAATTTTGTACATTAGTTATAGGCTTTAATAGAAATGCTAAATATAATTGACAGTCATAATAGTGCTAGCTATAGGAATTACATTAAGTCAACATATAAATTCCACTTTAAAATAGTAATGTGCTTTTACAGTTTTTAAAGCCCTTGCATAAACATCCAATCACTTGACAGCAATCTTGTGTGGGAGGTGGAATAGTAGTAATAAATTTATTTTACTGTTAGGAGAACTGTCTCAAGTTAAATGATTGCTCAATTTATTCTTTAATTCGATAAACGATAATGCATTCGTACTATTATTGCCTGGTATGGACCACACACTTTGTTCTCATTTAAATTAGAATTTAAACCAACAGAATCCTCTAAGTGCTATTTTTTTATCTTATCTTGGAAGAGGATAATATTTTTGAAAAAACATGTTACCCCATGTGCTTTACAAGGCAAAACAGCAAAACTTAGGACTGTACTTTAGAAAGACACCCATTACTAAACAATAAGTCACTGTTCAGTCTTTCAGAACTCTGTGGTTAAAATCAATCCGTCAGTATATTCGTCAAATACCATCAAGTGGAGAGTACTGTGTTTTTAAGAAAGATGACAGACCTAAACAAATTCTTGTCCTCATGAGGTAACTATATAAACATTAAAATCAGTGCATTTATCAGGTTGCATCAATTTTCTGTTAAGTTCTAAATTGGTTTTCTTCAAAATAAGAGGTTGAAAATTCCATTATTATGGTTTAAAAGAAATTTTAGTATTTTTGTTATGCTACCGAACTGAGGCAATATTAAAAGCTAAAAGAGGCAGATGGAGTATATTCAATAAAAAAAGGGTAAAGGGAATCACCTCCAATAACTTGGCAAGATTATGCCAAAAATTAAAGCTGCCAAAACCATACATAATTAATTACTAAAGATATGTCCAAACACGGTGGCCTACATCTTAATTCCAGCTACTCAGGAGGCTGAGGCAGGAAGATTACAAGTTCCAGGCCAACCTGGGCAGGCCTGCCTAAACCTCCTGAGTTCCTGGGATTACAGGCATGCACCACTGTGTGGATTTGGAAAATTTTTCCATAGAGCAAGAGTTTGGCAAGCACTGTCTAGGGTGGGTTGAATACTCTAGTCATCAGAGTGTCTTCCCTCAGGTTTCACCAGAGCCTGGATTAAATAAGTGTTGTAAGACTTCTTTGTTATAAATCCATTTTGTACAAACAAACTTCCAATTGATAAATCCAATTAATAATTCAGCCTCCAGGGCAGTTTGGTAGGAAATAGAGGCCCTGCAGGTTGATAGAAACATTCTAGTCATTAGAAAGACATATTGTTTCTTTCTAAATTAATACTTTGGGAAGGGAGCTGGTCCACAGGATTTTTTAGCTGCTTTGGTTCTTGACATTTAGTGGATGCTATTGTTATATTTTAGGAAGGTACAGTTTAGTATGTGCAAGTGAAGCTAGAGGCAGAATTCATCCCTTTAGGAAAGGAGCTGGTAGAATCAGGAGAGGGAGTAAGAGCCCATCCCAGGTGGGATTTGGAACTAGAACCAAGGACCTGTTCCTTTGATCTATCAATCACTCTTCTCACCTCCATCCAGCACCTTTCTCTCATATTAGAAACTTGTCTTGTGGATCAGAAAGAAAACAAACCTTTCTTTACTAACATGTTCCTCTTTCATTCACTGTCTTTAACAGCCACATTTTTTTTTAAATTTCTACACTCCTGTCTTTTCTTGATTCCTCAACCTACTATAATATGGCTTCCTTTACCTCCATTCCATCCACCCATCAATAGCCACCAATGATGTTGTTTCTGTTTGAGAAATCCTGTGGACTTTATTCAGGTTCATTTTACCTAATATTTGTAGAATTTGCCCCTGTTTTCTTCCATTCTTTTTAATACATTCTCTTGGCTTCTGGGTTCTGTCTAACTCATGAAATGCTCATCTCTAGTAACTTTTCCTTGACCACCAGATTGCGCTGAGTACTCTTCCTGTGGACTTTACTCTGACTACTCCTCTGCCACAACATTTACTATATGACATTAAAATAAAATGTTCATGAGCTGCCTCCTAAAATAAGTTGTAAGCCCCATAAAAGAGTCTATGTCATATTTATCTATATTCCTATCACATAACAAAAAAACCTGGTACCCTGGAGTTTTGTTTTACCTCAAGGAGAAGTCCAGCTAGGCTTTTGAACTAATTATTGATAATGGGCTAATAGGGAGGTTCTTCAATCTGTTGTTCCTAGGGGTAACTAGGGCCCTGTGTACCCCAGAGCACTTGGCCTGCTGCAGCATACTACTTCCAGGCTCTACTGGCTATTGCAGGCATTATTTCCTAACATTACTGATTGGGCTCTCATTTCTGGAGCTGAGCTTGTGGGTGGTAGATTGTGAGTATCTGAAGTTGGGCAATTAGGAACAGGCAAGGTCTACTGGACAAAAGGAGTTTCTGGACCTCTAAAACTGAGGACACTGTACAATGGTGATTCTACTATGCTCTGACACTCATCAGGGGCAATCAGACAATGCCTTCTTGGAATTGAAAAGTATGATGGTTTCTGATAAAGCAACTAAAGCCACAAGTAAAAGGCAGTGGATGGAATATTTTGCCTTTTTGATTTACTGCTCTCATTTTTCTCCATTTTCTTTCTGTTTTTATTTCTTAAAAGTATGATGGTTTCTGATAAAGGAACTAAAGCCACAAGTAAAAGGCAGTGGATGGAATATTTTGCCTTTTTGATTTACTGCTCTCATTTTTCTCCATTTTCTTTCTGTTTTTATTTCTTATTCCTTTAGCCCTGGGATTTAACCAGAGCAAGGTAGGCAAGCACTCTACCACTGAGCCATATCCCCAGCCCTTTAATATATATTTTTTTAATTTGAAAAGAAATCTTGCAAAATTGCCCAGGCTGGAAGCGAAAGGTTTATTTTGACTCAGAGTTTCAGAGATTTCAGTCCATGATGAGTTGGTTCTGTTGCCTTGGGCCTGTGATAACATGTACATCATGGCAGGAGCATGTGGTGGAAGAGGCCTGTTCACCTGGAAAGCAAAGGGAGAGAGAATTAGGAGAGGCCAATTCCTAACATTCTTCAAGAGCACGCTTCCAGTGACCTAACTTCCTTCCGCAAGGTCCCTAAAGATTCTATTATCTCTCAGTAGCAACATGGGCAGGGGACCAAGCCCTTCTTTTTGGTCTTAAAAAAAAAATGTGCTGTGTTTATCTACCTTACCTATGGTGTATAACTTGAGATTGCAAACTGTGGGATAGAATAATGTCTTTATATTTTCAGCAGTTCACTGTGGTGCCTAAGAATGTCTAATAATGTCAATATCATTTAATCAACCTTTTTCTATTTAATGAACACATTCCAAGGCTCTCCAGAGAACTTGTTCACTTGAACTTCATCAGAGATTTATAGATAATTTTCAGGATATATTCAGAATACATCCAGGCTAAAAATTTATAATATTTTTTCATAATGTAAGACAAATTAAAGTTGACTGATCTTATAAAATCTTTAGGTAATTCTTAGAAATATATTTGAGATGGATAATACAGTGAATGTAGAAACCCCTTTCCAGTTGAAGGGTATACTTTCTGTTGTTCCTTGAGACAGAAAAATATTACATGATGTCTATAAGTCTCAAATTATACAATGCTTCAGAAGATTAGCTACCCTCTTTATTGGTTTGTGAGACTGGTGAGGAACATAACTTCTATAAAAGCAAATCTACAAATTGTCTTGCCCTTGATCAGAAGGATTTCCTATAATGTATCCCCTTCAGATTTTGGATCTTCCTCCATATGCATTACATAGTTTTCTCGCACCAATCTAGAAAGAAGGAAAGGGTTTATAAAAATTTGAAATTGAGTCTTGTTCCTAGATTGTGTGCGCAATGATGTGACTCAACACTAGTTTTGAGAAAGTGGCTGCCAGGTAAGAAGGCATAGATTGTGGACCAGAGACCGAGTCATAAACACAAACTCATAAACACACAAAAAAATATTGGGATAAAGGGGTAGTTAATAGAAGAGGATAAGAAACTCAGGAAATCTTAAAATATGAAGATTTGTTACTAAGTGCTCTTCTAAAGGACACAACCATCTATGCTAAATCACTGTACCTGTTACAGATTGTTTAATAAAACAGGGATACTACTACCTCCCTAACAGGATTATCGTAAAGGCTTGAGTAGGATAATATATGTAAACTTAAATGACATAATGTATCTCCCATTCTTCTAAATATAACCACACATCAATTGATTTGGCAGATACCAAATTCAAATTTATGGCAGAAGTATTAAACAGAAATATAGACAAGGTATACCTAAAAGATACAATTGTTACTGTCTTCAATTAAATTAGAGAACAGAAAGATCAATCACCACATTGGGAAAGTGTTAAATTGTAGAAACTTAACAGAAAGCTAATTTAATTGTTTATTAAGTGAGGGGTCAATGAGGGAATGCTTTGAGCATAGTTGTACTCCAGGATCACTGTTCTTAAAAGCACAAATCAGTACATATCTTAAGGTACAAAGAATAACAAAAATACATATCAGGTAAATAGAAAAATTTTATAAATATTAAGAGCTAATATTTACTGAACTTGGATATTTATTGAACACAGGTAATTTTTTTACACAAGTTGATCAGGCAGGAAACTTGAGTATTGCCAATGAATCAACTGAGGCTTAAGAAGTAGAACCACTCTGATGCAAATAAAGGCAAGTATGAGTTTCAAAGGAAGGAGTCTTTGATCTGGGAATTAAGGAGGAACCAGTACTTGGAATAATAAAAGGAAAGGGCATTGTAAGGTGGAGGAAATAACATCAGGAGTGTCATGGGGTGAGAATGAGCAGCCTGTGTGGAGGGGATGACAAAATCCCACAGGGAAGCCAGGTAGGTGGGAGAGGAGGGCAAGCACAAGGAAAAGCAGACCAGGGCTTAAAAATTGGAAAAATAGATGGGGCTTGAATGAAAAGGGAGTGCAGGATCTAATCTTTTGTCCTAATGTTTTTTTTCCATAAGGTAATTCTGGTGGCAGTGTCAAAGTACTGGATTTGAAAGATGAGAGACAAAAGGAGACCAATTAAGGTATTCTTGGAACGGTACCACTTTGATCTTCCTGGAAGTGAAGAAAAAGAAAACAAGTTCTTACTGTCTAATGAAAAGAGGCACACCAGGGTTATTCAGGAAGATTTTCTTTTTTCCCCCCTGTACTAAAACTTTAAAAAAATTATCATATAACTCTTTATATAAAGGACATTAAATGACATAATTTCTTTATACATTATAAATCACATATTTATTTAGACCTACAGTGTGTTTAATGTACTATTTAACGTACTACATATAAAATATTAAAATCATGAAGTTTCTGCCCTCATGGAGCTTCCTTTCTAGAGAGAATTAGGCAATTGTCTAAAATAGTGATTTTTCTTGTTATTATTAAAATGCAGGATTAAGTTTCATGTGGAATTTTTTCTTTTGTCAACTCTCAGTAGTGGCTAATTATAATCCAGTAAAGGCATTTTGTTGAGAGCTTAGTTTGACATAAAGCTCACCAAATCTATAGAAGCCAGTAGTGTTGCAACCTCTGTGTACTATACCTCAATTATAGGTGGTTTCGGCTAGATTTTTTAAATATATTATTATTATTATTATTGATATTGCTATATTTATTGTCATTTTAATTATTATATTTTATTCATTCATTTATTTGTGCATCATTTTGGAGATTGAGCTCAGGGTGCTCTACCACTGAGCCACATCTTCAGTCCTTTGGATTTTTTATTTTGAGAGAGATTCTTGCTAAGTTGCTGAGGCCAGCCTGGAACCTGTGATCCTCCTGCCTCAGCTTTCAGAGTCACTGGGATTACAGATGTGTGCCACCACACCAAGCCACTCTTTTTAAAGCTGCATTGCAGAAGAAGGAGACGGAGAAGGAGAAGGAGAAGAAGAAGAAAGAAGAACAGAGGAGGAGGAGGAGGAGGAGGAAGAGGAGGAGGAGCCACCGCCACCTAGATTGAAGTCATTTTCAAACTGAGATCTCTGATAAGTGAGTAAAGGACAATTATCCTGGGAAGGTGAATAAAAAGCAGTGTTTATATTTACATATGTATACTTTACTCATTAGCTATATATTTGCTGATTGATGTGTTAAGCACCTTTGAACTCTGAAGATAGGAAACCGGTAAGAGAATACCTACCTTGAAAAATGTGTAAGGATATCAACATCACAGAATTTACCTGCTTTTTTTTTTAATCTTAGAAAAGGGATGGTAACATTCTTCAGAAAATTTGACTACTTGAACTTCCTTAGAGATTTATTTATTTATTTAGGTACCAGGGATATAAATAAATTTTTGAGCTGTAGCTCTCTAGAATATATACAGAATAACATATATCTCATTATATAAGATAAATCAGAGTTGACGAGTTTCATGAGGAGTTTAAGTCTAACATCAAGAGGCCTATTTGGTGTGAGTAATAGGGAAATATAATAACTCCCAACTGAAGAGGTATACTTTCAGGAGACCTCTATAATGACAGAATATTGTGTGGGGAAAGTCATAGCTAATGGCATGACAGACGTGATTGCCAAAAATTGCAATATGATACAATAAACAGTGCAGCAGTAGGTACACACAAGGTGTTCTGGATCCACAAGCAGGTACATTAAAATCAGCTTTAGGAGTGTTTGGGGCTTGGGGCAGGAGAGGAGGAAGCAATTGGCTGAGTTTTTTTTTTTTTTTTTAATTTAACAATAGCCACTATTTAACAATTTGTCTTCCTCAAAACAACTCAGGGGAGCCAAGTGAGGCTCAGAGGAGTTCAGCCTGCTGCTTGACCCCAGGTCCAGGCCTACTAGCAATGGTGCAGTGAGAGTGCCACCATCGTGGGGTTAGACCCTGAGGGAGTGCCAAGATAGGTAATAAGTGACCTACCTACTTATCAGAGTAAATGAAGAAATCAGTTCTGGTTTGTACTATGATTAGGCAGCTGCTGTAACTATGCTTCATTGCTCTGTCTTGCTTTTTATTCTAGGAAACCAACAAGGTGTGAATATCGTCCTTCAAAAAATCTTTCTTTTGGCTCATCAGTAGGCTGAACAAGGAATCTATTTATGCTAAATGGTGGATAACTTCCTTGTCCTCACAAATTATTTCGATGACAGAGCTAGGTATCTGTTCAGTGCATTTCTGTCCTGAAAGTCTACAGTTGTACAGTCTGGATTTCAAACCTCCTCTTATTCAGTCAGAATTACTTCAGGTTACTCAGTGATACTATTTCCTGTTTGCTAAATATTTTGGAATAATGTTCATTTCCATAAAGAAATCTATTATTGATAAGATAAATTTCACTTGAGGGGTGGGAATTAAGCTCACTGGCAGAGCGCTTGTCTAGCATGCAAGGCCCTGAATTTGGTCCTCAGCCCTGGGGGAGGGGTGGGGGGGGGAGATAATTTGCACTTGAAAAAAATATCCTACTTTCTTGAGAGGAAAGAGTGAGAAGCTGAGAGCCACTACCTTGCAAAAGCTCTGAAGTGTCAAAAGGATCATACAAGTTAAGACAAGGGAATGGAACACATATTTGTTAAGTATTAAACACACAAAATTAAGATTGGCAAAATAATTGGTTATCTTCTGTGAAATGCATTCTAAGAGAAGAGTGAAAAAAACTATTTTTCAGTAGTTTTTCTGTTAGTATCAATATTTGCATTAGTATTTGTTATTTTTTTGTATTATCCAGGTAAAAAAAATAAATTATGCTGTTATGTATTATATAGGTGCAGAATGCCCTTTTTATTTAGAGTCATAGTTGAATGATTCATTGAATTATAAAGAAGGAAAATAAATTTATAATTTGGAAGAATAATAAAAATTGAAGTAGTGATGCAGTAATGTGAGAACTAAGTTGGAAATATTAATATAAACTAATAATATTGAATAAAATACACCTTTTCTAGTTCTGTACAGTGAGATGGGAAAGGAACACTTACTCCACCATAAGCTTGATCTATGTACCCCTACTGTCTAAATTATAGTGTCTAATACCACTTCTTAAAGAAACTGACATGCCTTAGGAAGAAGGCAGATTCCCTGCCGGTCTGGGAAGGTGTAGATGGGTCTTGGAACATTTCACTTGGCCAGAAGAGAAGGATATTGAGTAATAATAATAATAATAATAATAATAATAATAATAATAATGTATTGCATGGAAGAATATAGAAGGCAGTTTAAAGGGATGACCATTAACTAAATCTGTCAATTTGAATACCAATAGGAAAATAATGACTACAGCTAATTACAACGCATTAATTTGTGAAAAACTGAGTCCACAAAAATGAGAAAATTTGACAAACTGTGCTAAAGTTTAATTTAATTGAATCTCATTATTTAGTTCTGTTGACTTATGTATTATGTAGGTGCAGAATGCCAAATTCAGCGAATATAAAGTATGTTTGTTTTACTTAATCTAAGTTTACATTAGAAAAATAATTCTTAAACTCCTAAGCCATAATTGCCTGTGCCTGACTAGTGCATACTGATTTTTTGTAGTGACAAAATTGTTTGCATAGGCATCCATCCAACTTATCCCTGCCTGCCCAGAAATCTAATACTGGGAGTTTTTATTGCATCTCAAAATGTTGTTCTAGTGAGTCATCTTAGGAAAATTAGTGTTGGAATATATTTGAATTATTGTACTCCTGTGTTTCTGTGCATTGATTAGCTAAGTTTGAAATGCTAGTTCATAACCTTGGTGGTATTTTGCTTAAGTCTATAGCAGGCTGACCAATAAAATGTCCCAGGATGATAGAAATATTCCGTATCTGGGCTATCCAATAGGGTAACCATTAGTCACTCATTAGGCTATATCTATTGAGCACTGGAAATATGATTAGTGTGACTAAGGAGCTGAATTTTAAATTTAAATTTAAAGTATAAAATAGACACATGTGGCTATGAACTATTGAGCAGTATAGGTTTAGATTTCAGATGCATATATGTATGTGTATGTGTGTGTGTGTGTTTCTGGGGATTGAACCCAGGGCCCATGCATCCTCGGCAGATACTCCACCTCTGAGCTAGATCCCCAGTCCCTCAGACCTCTTTTTAATTAGAATAACTTTTTAATTGGAATAATAATTATGGCTTAGGAGTTTAAGAATTATTTTTCTAACTTTCTACAACAAGAAGAAATGTTGAATGAAAAAATATTGAATATATTTCAAATATAAGGTCCGGAACTTGAGATAATTTGGACAAATACCATGCCTTTCAAATAGTCTCTCTTAAGTGAATGATTTCCATGAGGTTTTTTATTTCATATATTTGAGTCCTATTTACTACTTTGTAAAAGTCAGAGATATTCAGTATGTTGAGTCACGATTATCAATTTAAGAAGTAATGCTGCTTATGCCATAATGGTATGTGCTCTTCATCTTATAATCTTTAGTGACTAAGCCAACATGTATTGGTATCTGTGCCAACATTCATTAGTCAGTGCCCACTTCATCACGACTGAAAAATCTACTTTTGCTGGGCATGGTGGCACATGCCTGTAATCCCATCAGCTCTGAAGGCTGAGGCAGGAGAATCAAGATTTCAAAGCCAGTCTCAGCAATGTAGTGAGGCCTCAAGCAAGTTATCAAGACCCTGTCTGTAAGTAAAATATGAAAAATGTCTGAGGATGTGGCTCAGTGGTTAAGTGCCCCTAGGTTCAATCCTTGGTGAGTACATATATATATATATATATATATATATATATATAATATAATAATATTATATATAATATTATTATACACGTAACTATGTAAAAAGTTTTTATCAATGTCAATTTATTTGATCTCCTTAACCCTATCTACTCTGTAAAGCATCTTTTGCTGATGAGTTCCTGAAGCTCAAAAGAGATTAAACTTTGCTCAAAGCAGTGCCACTGATAAGAACTAGAACTAGTAAATGTACTCAACTCTTCCAATTTCCCAGTGTAAATCCTTGCCTATTTCAGCCACACCACGGCTATTCTCACACTCTATTTGCATAAAACTTTTAAGATTATGATGTACTTCTGTAAACTATCTCCTTGCATCTTTTTACAACAGCTGTGGTTGGCAAATAGGTTCTTCCTTAAAAATTTTATATCATCTCCTTAAGGAAACAATACACATGCAAAACCAAAGACATTATTACAGGGTAATATAAACACACAGAAATTAATTACAGAGATATATACAGATGCCGAGGAGATTGTGAATTGGATTCAGCCAAGCGAGATCTATGATAAAACCTAAAAAGAGGTGAGGATTTAATGGGATTTGGAGGAAGAGAGAGAAACCAGATTTGAAGAACCAAAAACAAGAAGGGGCCAGATATGGTGGCCCAGACCTGTAATCCCAGCAGCTTGTGAGGCCCAGGCAGGAAGATTGCAAGTTCAAAGCCAGTCTCAGCAATTTAGCCAGGTCCTAAGCAAGTTATCAAGACCCTGTCTCTAAATAATATATGAAAAAGGACTGAGGATGTGGCTCAGTGGTTAAGCGCCCCTGGGTTCCATTCCTGGTACCAAAAAACAAAGAAAATACCAAGAAGGGTCAGTGCCTTCCAAACAGAAGAAATGATCTATGTCAAGATGTGTGTGTGTAGGCACAATGTCAGTTGGAGAATGTGACCAGCAAATCAGCTTGATAAAAAGAACTGGTTGGGGATAAAGCTCAGTTGGTAGAGTGCTTGCCTTGCATACACAAGGCCCTGGGTTCAATCCCCAGCAAAACATACACACACACACACACACACACACACACACACACACACGCACGCACACACACACACAAAAGTAATGAAAGACAAGACTGCTAAGATTAGGAATACTCCTAGTTAGTGAAAGAACTTGGATGTCAAGGGTAGCTTTGGTTTTGTTTGTCAGACATCAGGGAGTCAGGAAAAGTTCATGTGAATAAAACACTACAGATAGCAACAAAAGACTTTGCAGTAACAGTCTGCTAAGGCCACCTCATCATAGATGGCTAGGTTCACTTACATCCTAGGAAGTTGGATGTAAGTGAACCACTAGCCTGAAAAGTCTCATCAGAGCTGGACATCGAGTGGATTTAAGGCAGGAAAAGAGAGGAAAGAGTGAAAAAACAACTGAGAGTTCTCTAGCCTGTTGGGTTGGGTGATTATGGTATAAGGAGCAGGTTATTTCTGAAGGGAAGCTTTTGACTGAGGCCAAAAAAAAAAAAAAAAAAAAAAAGAAAGGGACAAGGAAATAACAAGCTAAGATTTTGAAATGCAGAGTTGAAGATGATGCAAGGAGTTTCAGTTGCAAGCCTGGAGGCAGCTGTCTGTATGAAGGTAAGAAGTCAGAGTTCATGTTGTGTTCCTTTTTTGTTAACCTCTGACTCCACCCAAGCCCTGCCTCCTTGCGGCCTGTTCACACTGCCTCAGATGTTCTTTTCTTGGCAATTTGCTATTGGGAAGAATTCATATTTATAGATTTTGGATATTTCCTTGTGAACTTTCTCTATGGTAGCATACAAAAAAAAAAAGATAAAAGGAAAGGTTTTTAAAATGCATTGAAGACTTTTCACCCTGAAATAATTGTCTAGAAGTTAGTTTGATTTTTAAAAATTAATATTTATTACTTTCAAATTCAAAATAGTAAACTTTTACATTAAAAATATCTATTTCATTATTCTATTTATAAATCTAACAAACTGGTGTCTAATCCACTTTGTTAATCATTTAAAACTGTATTTATTAATTTAATAATTTGGCTATTTTTTGAAACACCAATTTTCTGATTAACAAACTTTCCCAAATTCTTAAGTAATTCTTATTAAACTAGTAAATTAAACAAATGCATATGGTGAGTTGTAATTTTTCTTAGAAGTTCCAAATAGTCTTATAAAAGATTTTAAACTTAAAATCAAAATCTAGATCAGTCAGTTGTATATTTATTTGTTTGTTTGTTTGTTTATTTTTAGTTGCAGTTGGACGCAATATCTCTACTTATTTATTTATATGTGGTGCTGAAGATCAAACCCAGGGCCTCGCATGTTGTAGGCAAACACTCTACCGCTGAGCCACAATCCCAGCCCCAGTTGAATATTTAAAATCAACATTACAAGATTAAATTTTAGATCCTTTATTAAACATTAAAGGTATTTCTAAATGGGCATTGTGGTACACACCCATAGTCCCAGCTAGGGAGGCTGAGGCAGGAGGGTTGAAAATCCTCAGCAATTTAGCAAGAACCTTAGCAGGACCCTAAATAAAAAATAAAAAGGGCTGGGGATGTAGCTCAGTGGTAAAGCACCTGGCTTCAATCCTAAGTACCAAAAAAAAATTTTTTTTAAAGATTTAAAAAAGTATTTCTAATAAATACTATTAACCATTAGAATTGTTTAAAGTATCAAAATCTAGTTTTTAAATATCAAATGTATAGATTCCTTAATACAAAAATACTATCATGAGATTTGATTTGCTTCATCATATCTCTATTTAATTCTAAACCTTCTCAAGATAAAGAGAGATGCATATCCATTAGAAAACAATTATATCATCCCAAGCAAATCTGGGAACACCTTCCCATGAAATGTTTGGGTTTACCTTCTTGGCTACGAGGGTTCCCTGTGGTCAGAAGTTTCCTTGGCCTCTCTGTCTCCAATGCTTGCCTTCTCTCTCCAGGCATCCCAAAGAAAGGGGGTTTAACTCTCTCAATGTAAGTAGAGTTGGCCAGGTAGTCTTTCCTACTACCTCCTTCAAGG